TGAACTATTTTTTTTTATACCCTTCACCACACTGTGGTACAGGGTATTATGTCTTTGTGCATATGTTTGTAACAGGCAAAAGGAAACGAGATTTGGATGAAATTTGGCACAAGTCACTTATTTGGCCCAAGGACGAACCCTATTGAAATTGGGAAAAATCGGTTCAGATTTAGATATAGCTCCCATATATATTTTCGTCCGATTTAAGGTAAATGAGGCACTAAAGTCCCTCTATATCTTTCGATTTGCATGAAATTTGGCACAGTGTACTGAGTTAGGTCCAGAATGATGTGGGCCAAGTTTCGAGAAAATCGTTTCAGATTTAGATATAGCTCCCATATATAGTTTCGCCCGATTTAAGGTAAATGGGGCACCAAAGTCCCTCTATATCTTTCGATTTGCATGAAATTTGGCAAAGAGTACTGAAATAGGTCCAGAATGATGTGTACCAAGTTTCGAGAAAATCGGTTCAGATTTAGATATAGCTCCAATATATATTTTCTTCCGATTTAAGGTAAATGGGGCACCAAAGTCCCTCTATATCTTTCGATTTGCATGAAATTTGGCAAAGAGTACTGAAATAGGTCCAGAATGATGTGTACCAAGTTTCGAGAAAATCGGTTCAGATTTAGATATAGCTCCAATATATAGTTTCTTCCGATTTAAGGTATATGGGACACCAAAGTCCCTCTATATCTTTCGATTTGCATGAAATTTGGCACAGTGTACTGAGTTAGGTCCAGAATGATGTGTGCCAAGCTTCGAGAAAATCGGTTCAGATTTAGATATAGCTCCCATATATATTTTCTTCCGATTTAAGGTAAATGGGGCACCAAAGTCCCTTTATATCTTTCGATTTGCATGCAATTTGGCACAGAGTACTGAATAAGGTCCAGAATGATTTGTGCCAAGTTTCGAGAAAATCGGTTTAGATTTATATATAGCTCCCATATATATTTTTGTCAGATTTGAAGTAACTGCACGATTTGCACGAAATTTGGCATAGGGCACTGAACTGGGTCAAGAATGATGTGTGCTAAGTTTCGTGAAAAACGGTTCAGATTTAGATATAGCTCCAATATATATTTTCGTCCGATTTAATGTAAATTGTGCACTAAAGAACCAAAGATTGGCCGACCCGCACACAATTTGGTACAATGTACTGAAGTTACTATAACCTTGTGTGTGCCTTTCTCCTATGTGTACTTTCGTCCGATTTTAAGTAAATGGTGTACTAAAGACCCATAGCTAGGCCGATTTAAACAGTGAAGCATACCAAATAGCGTGCGTAAAGTTAGCTTAAAGTCGATTTAAAAAGTATGAAATCAATGTTCCTTCAAAAAGACGACATCTGTAAAGATACATATGAAGAATATCCCCAAAGTGGTGAAGGGTATCATATAGTCGGCCCAGTCCGACTTTACTATTTTCCTTACTGTTTTTTTTTTGTAAAATAACACAAATAAGTTTTAACTTCGGGAAAACACGATTCGGAAATGACGCTGCAGAAGACATGTCGACCTCTAATCGGTCAAGTTAGAGAAAATATCGCGAAATATTTTCCAAGCTCGGAATTTAGATCCGCAGAAACTTAGTGTAGTTCAGTAAGGTATCATATGGTCGTTCTTGTCCGACAATACTGTTTCTTTCACTGGCGGCCCATCTGTCTGTCCATGTTAAATTGTAAACAAAGTACAGGTCGCATTTGGCAAAGATTATTTATTTGCCCCAAACACGAACCCTATTGCTATTGGTAAAAATCATTTCAGATTTATATAGCCTCCATAAAAAATTTTCGTAAGATTTTTAGCTTTAACCATTTTATATATTTATTCCCGATCGTGACTAGATAACTCAAGAGGTTAAAATCGAGGTAATTTACATTTATGAGCCATAACTCATTTAGCATATAAATCGAATCCCAAAATAATCTCTTGCATATGGTCCAATTTGCACGTATTTTAAACAGCCTGATACATACTAAAAATATATAAAATGACAAATTATATTCACCATCTTCACATACGCTTTATAAAAATGAAAAATATATTGTGTAATTCCTTTGTTCATTCAAATTTATGTTTATATTTACAATTTTTGCCACTATTCTGGTATACCTCACGCTGTTTTAGCTACATGTAAATGAAATGTTCTATCAGTAACAATGTTCAGTGACTCGTTACGCGTTTCAGCTGTCATTTCCTTTATACGTATTGTATGGTAACATGATTCATCAGAAATTCATTGAGACGAGCTGTGTTTATACGTATATATATATATATATATATTGCGAACTCACATTTGATTCTCGAAACATAATACTAAAGCTACAACATTGATATGTGCCACATCCCTGCTTTTCATTTCATTTCAAGGGAAAACATGTTATTCTTTGTTGTTGTTCGGATATAAGGTGTAAGGTGCTCATACTTAAATGTTGCAGCCAATTTACATAAATATGATATGAATATCATTCAGACACATTTCCGCTGCTGTGCGTAAGTGGCTGTTTGTTTGTACGGCGGTACAGGAAGAGGGAAATCTGATATTGTTACTGACACAATATTTTGTACATATTTAATGATCAAAAATTAATGTAAACTCATCTATAAAATTTAATGATTTCTTTCTTTGGCTTCCTATTATTATCCTATTTTCCGGTGGGGGAGAAAATGGAAAATAAATGAAATTTGGTTAAAATGTGCAGGAGTGTATGTGACATGTTGAAATAATGCAATATTTTATATTTTCCTCTATTATTTTTTTTTTGTATTATTTTTATGTAATCAATGAAAATAAGTATCAAGGTTTATACATAAGGTTAACCGGCAGGTGAATTCATGGCTTAGTCTTCTCTTAATATATAGCAATACAGGATATAACAGGATAGCAGAACAGGATATAAATTCCAATTATCTTTCATAAAACTTATTGATAAGTTTGTGGACAAATATTTTGTTTCAAATAAAAATATTTTTTTGTTTTTTTATTCTTCAAACCAAGCAATAAACCCATAATAAAGGTAGTCTCATTTCATCCGAATACAACCAGTAAAGAAAGTAGTAAAGTCGGACTGGGCCGACTATATGATACCCTTCACCACTTTGGGTATATTCTACGTATGTTTGTTATATATCTATATCTGAATCCGATTTTCACGAAACTTAACACAAATCGAATGATTTTCAGAGACTTTGGTGCACCATTTACCTAAAATCGGGCGAAAATATATATATGGGAGTTTTATCTAAATCTGAAACGATTTTCATGAAACTGAGCACACATTATTATAGACGCAATTCAGTACGCTATGCCAAATTTCGTGCAAATCGAAAGATATATAGGGTTTTTGATGCACCAATTACCTTAAATCCGATGAAAATATATATGGGAGCTATATCTAAATCTAAACCGATTTTCACGAAACTTAACACACATCATTGTAGACCATAATCATTACGCTGTGCCAAATTTCGAGCAAATCGAAAGATATATAGGGACTTTGGTACACCATTTACATTAAATCGATTAAGGATATATATATTCGGGAACTATATCTCAATATGAACCGATTTTCACGAAACTTTGCACACATCATTCTAGACTTAATTTAGTACACTATGCCAAATTTCGTGCAAATCGAAAGATATATAGAAAGGTATGTAGGGACTTTGGTGCCCCATTTACCATAAATCGGACGAAAATATATATGGGAGCTATATCTAAATCTGAACCGATTTTTCCCAATTTCAATAGGTTCGTCCTTCAATAGGGTTCGTCCAATTCAGATCATAAATGCGACCTGTACTTTGTTTACAATTTAACATGGGCAGACGGACGGACATGCATAAATCGACTCAGAAATTGATTATATGCGTATTCTCAAAAGGAACCATGGGTCTATCTCGATTATTTTTGCCTGTTACAAACATATGCACAAAGACATAATACCCTGAATATGAAATTCAAAATAAGTAGAACAAAAGGCCCTAATTTAATCGATATATGTTTTTCTGTCGAAATACGGGGTATCTGATATTAACATCCAAAGTTCTCTTGGGGCCAATATATTTTCCATTTTCGTTTGGGGGCGATTGTGGAGATCCAAAATAATTTATATTGACGTAATCTTGATCCCAACCCCATAAAAATTATGAGTATCGTTGCTTTAAGTTGAAGACCACGAAAACACTGGATCCAAATGGAAGTTTAGATGCACATAGTATTCATATTCATATGAAGTGTATGTGAAAATGAGTTTTGTTTACTTTTTTGAAAAAAAAACGTCAGAATATATTTAGGTCTTAACTTCAAATAATATATTCAAGGAACTTATTAAAAATAGGTCCCAAATTAAATAAGAGATGATAATACAACAATGTGTTTATTTAAAGTTTTTACATATTCTCGAAATAATTCTATGAACCACACAAGGCCTATTAAATAAGGTCTACCGGATGGACCGGTATAAGGTTAACAAGGAAGAGAATTCGAAGTCTTCATTGATTGTAAAATTTATTATCTGAAGAATAAATAAACACAAAATATTTTTATTCGAACGAAAATATTTGTGCACACTACTATCATTACGTTTTTTGAAAGATATTTTGAGTTTTTATCCTGTTCTGGTTGGTATTTCGCGATTAAAATGTTGACAGCAAGAGAAGACTAAGCCATGAATTCGCCTGCCGGCATAGACAATTTATTTTCTAACAATAAATATTCTGTTCCCGTACTGCAAGAATCTACTAATTTTTAATATTTGATATCATAAAGGAAAAAATTGTTATCGTAGTAAAAAATTGTACGTTCTTGCAGGTTCTGGAATAGACCCAATGTTAAGGGCCCCACACACTATACATGCCGATGAACCCTATAGTATATGTGTGAGATTGACTAGTGTATGGCAAACTTATGGGGCCCTTTAAAAACTATGTATTTTCTGTCAAATTACATTTTGTGCAACAAAAACTTAGATAACAAGCAACATTTCAAAATAAATGGACAATTCAACCAACAATCAGACAAATATAACCGACAAAGATATGCCTCATATAGATGAATCGGGTGTAAACTTTAATGGAAAAAATCATGACACAATACAACATTTAATAACTGGCAGTCAATATCAAGGAGTGTGGCAAAAAGCGCTTCAATGTCCTGATGGTTATGGCACCTACACCTATCCCGATGGCAGTGTGTATAAGGGATATTTTAATCGTGGTCATTTCAATGGTTATGGCACCCTACATTTAGCTGAACCCTATAATTTTACTTTTAAGGGAACATTTCTGAATGGCAGCCTTCAGGACATAGAAGATATGTGGTTCGACGATGGTTTACATGTAAATGGAAAATTTGAAAACTGGCATGGTGATTTTTCATCTTGGAAATATTGTTGCAAACATGATCGACGTTATGCTGTTGAACAAGCACAAGGTATGCCACCAGTAGGTCCTTATTCTTTTCTAACATCCGTTCAACCTGCAAGGAAGGTGCCCACAAATTATTTTGATGTCGAGGAGGGTCTCTACAATCCCGGTACAGCGTTAACAATAAAACGCCCTTTACCATTCACTGAAATGCAAGTGGTGGCTTGTAAAGATGACATCCGTTGGATTATGGAGAATTGTCGCAAAGCCTCGATATTACCAAAAGAAATTCCCCCCGGTGTTTGTCAACAAATTATTAACAACAATTTGGAAAGTGAAAAACAATTAGCTGAACATGATCCTTGTTGTAATTATGAATCTGCCAAGGAGCGCAAACGATATTTTGCCAAGTTATGCAAGGAGCATAGGCCAGAATCGCATAACGATACTTCATGTGGCGTCATGCGATTTGAATCGTTTTCTGAAGATTCCATGGGAAATCGTTTGCCAGAAAGTTCTTCCACCTGTGGAGTAAATAGTTTATCTGACAATAATATTTTCCTAGATGTTCAGGAATATTTGGAAATTGGTCGTCAGTATGGCAATATGAAATTGGGTCGCAATTTAGAACGTGAAGCTGTATGCTTGATGTCAAGACCCCAGAGGAAATCAACAATACAAGATGGCAATGCAAAATGAAATGGGATAACAACTGAAATTATTTGTAATATTTTTGTTTTAATGAACACTTCTTATTAAAAAATATAATTTACACTGGTGTTCATAATTGTTATTTGACAAATATTGACATGAATATAAATTCGATTTTATACCATTTAAAAAACTTCCATAAGAACTAAAATCAGCGGATACTGTTGGTCTGTCAATGAGTTACCCCGTCGTTATTCAGCAATCGTCTGCAAATATCTCCTATAGATGTGGGTGCGTTAAGTAACACCAGGGAAGAGCAATATCGACCCAACATTTCGAGAAAGACGGGGACTCAAACTCAGTGTTGAAGCGAATTCCGTTGCCGTAGGAGCGATCAGTGAATTTGAAAAAGGTATTGCATGAAGATGCAGTGCAATGCCTAAAAATCAATAAAAATTTCTCGTGATAATATGGGTACATGGTCAAACGGGAATCATAGACAATGTATGGCCAAAACACTCGCCAGAAAAATTTTGTTAGCGAAAAGGGGCCCATGGGGTGACCAAAACTAAGATTAAACGGAGCAATTCTTAACACTCAATAAAACGGATATCAACAGGCTGGCAGGTTTTTTTCACATGATATCTGAGCCTGCAGGCACATTTACTCAAGATTGGGCGAAGTGCTGGTAAATTTCCTACGCCACTGCCAGCTTTCGATCAAAATTCATGGGAAAAAATGCTATTCAGAAAGCAATTGAATATTGCCAACTTCCAGACTAAAAAATTTTCAGCAGTTTTGGGGGGGAAATGATCCGGAAAATCAAAATCGTACAGCAGATGAATGCTTATAATTCATATCCTCCAGCAATCCACTGAAGTGGCGAAGAAGACCGATAACATCAATCTACAAAAGTCAAAAAATTCACTTCTAATAAAGAACATGAAAATCTTAAATAGTGAGGATATCGAAGACGGGTATCTCCTTGTGGTAGACTGCCCAAGACCAAAGTTAAGGCGTACTTGTAAACCATGCAGTATTTTCCAAGATTATTAAGGCGAGGATTGAAGAGTGGGAGACTATCACAACAGCGATGCCAAATGGTCCAGTAATAAGTGACCAAATAATATATTGCCGTATGTAATTTAATATCCTTATATGACATACCGTGTGATAGAGGCATCTGTGTGCACATGATTGTAAAAATACTATCTTAAAACCAGTAAGGAAAGTAGGAAAGTCGGACTGGGCCGACTATATGATACCCTTCACCACTTTGGGGATATTCTACATACTTATTTTTACAGATGTCGTCTTTTCGAAGGAACATTGACATGAAATTGAACAAACTTAAAAATGCGATCTATATCTATAGGTAAACCGACTAACATCAATCCTTACACATGCCATTCTGCAATATATTCCACACTTTGTAAATAGATTTTAAGCAAACTTTACGCATGCTATTTGGTATACTGTTTAAAATATATATATATATATATATATATATACACTGTTTAAAATGTAATATAAATCAGGCATCCATTGATTATTTGGTTTACAATCAACATGAATAGGTCGAAATTATATATATAGAAGCTATGCTATATCAAAATCTGAACCGATTTCAAGGAAACTTGCCCGAGATTAATTTATATTAATTTCAGTACGTTTTACCAATCGGTCTAGCTATGTGTCTTTAGTACACCATTTACTTAATATCGGACGAAAGTATATACAGGAGCTATATATATATATATATCTGAAGCAATTTCAAGAAAACTTGACTCACGAAAAGTTATAGTAACTTCAGTACATTGTACAAAATTGTGTGCAGGTCGGCCAAAATGTGGGTCTTTAGTAAACAGTTTACTTTAAATCCGACAAAAATATATATGGGAGCTATATCTAAATCTGAACCGATTTTCACGAAACTTAGCACATATGATTCTGGACCCAATTCAGTACCCTATGCCAAATTTAGTGCAAATCGAAAGATATATAGGATATATTGGAGACTATATCTAAATCTGGACCGATTTTCACAAAACTTGGCACACAACATTTCATGCAAATCGAAAGGTATATTGGGACTTTGGTGCACCATGTACATAAAATCTGACAAAACTATATATGGGAGCTATATCTAACTCTGAACCGATTGTCTCGAAACTTAACACACATCATTCTGGACCTTATTCAGTACTTTGTGCCAAATTTCGTGAAAATCGAATGATATATAGGGACTTTGGTGCACCATTTACCTTAAATCGGACGTAACTATATATGGGAGCTGTATCTAACTCTGAACCGATTGTCTCGAAACTTGGCACACATTATTCTGGACCTTATTCAGTACTTTGTGCCAAATTTCGTGCAAATCGAATGATATATAGGGGCTTTGGTGCACCATTTACCTTAAATCGGACGAAAGTATATATGGGAGCTATAAGTGGGCCAAATAAGTGAGTTGTGCCAAATTTCATCCAAATCGGAACCGATTTTTCCCAATTTCAATAGGGTTCGTCCTTGGGCCAAATAAGTGAGTTGTGGCAAATTTCATCCAATTCAGATCTTAAATGCGACCTGTACTTCGTTCACAAAACTACATGGACGGACAGACGGGCGGACGGACGGACGGACAGACGGATATGCATAAATCGACTCAGATAGTGATTCTATCATATTCTCAAAAGGAACCATGTGTCTATCTCGTTTCCTTTCGCCTGTTACAAACATATGCACAAAGACATAATACCCTATACCACACTGTGGTGAAGGGTATACAAATAAATAAATAATAAACAGTAAGGAATATTCAAAAGTTGGACGGGCCGACAAAATATGTAAAAATCTATATATATATATATATATATATAATTGAAATCATAGTCTAATTCATCAAATATTGTCCTTCATATTCAGCTACTCATGCAAGTGGAAATTATCAAATATTTTCTACAAAAAAAGAAAAAAAAAATATTTTTTTTTTTATAAAATAAACTTTCTTTCAAATTCTCACAGTCCTGTAGCAGCAAATACATAGCCATCCATAGACAACTGGATATATGTTGCCAACTTTTTCCATCTCTACTTCTTTCACGTACACAGACACACACACACACACACATTGTGTTCTATTCTATTGATACCGTATGCCATACACGTTTGATCAAATAATTCAAAGTAACTTTTCATGTTAAGGTGTTGTCTCGAATATATACTTCAAGGGTCATGACGTGGCGACGTTTGCCGGAAACACCTTTAAAATGTTAAAAAAGGCTTAAGGCAGCATGCATTAAAGAATTTTATACTCATACATCAAATAGCTTACGTACGTTCGGAATTTTGACACACGTACGCACATATACATGTGTATGATATATTTCTGTGCTTGTGTGTGGTTCATCCTTTAATGTTGTTCACTTGTCATGTTTCCTTTGGCGTTATTTCAATTTTTTCTAGTAAAGGAAAGGCAGCTCAACCCAAAATGTCATATGTTCGTGAAAATATAAAAGATAAATGGACGGATGGCGAATGGCGGTCACATCAAATTGACCTACATTGTCAATTAAATATAAAGCTAGCACATGGTCGACCGCAACAATATGTTTGGTTAGAAAATAAAGAAAATCTGATTTGTTTACTTTTCTTCCAAACTTGTGGGCCAACTGCATACTTGGATACCTTTTTTTGTTTATTTATTCTATTTGGGTTAATGGTACTTTGCCATCGCAGAGTGTCCAGGCTTCAGACCAAAGGATACGTGTTGAAAAGCAATTTTGCACCATGTGAAGACTATACTAATAATGTTGTGTTACAAACTTACATTTGTCAGTCGCATTAAGACATTAAAATAGTTTATGAATCCTTTTTGCTTCAAAATGGGCTGGGTAAGTGAATTTTTGTGATTTAGAAAAAATTACAAATAACAAATTGTTAATAAAAAAGTTCGGATTTGTTTATAACATGCATGCAATAGAATTAAATTAAATATTAATTTCATTGGCATAGACAAAGTTTTAAACAAACTACTAAAAACAAAAACTTGTACGAAAACGAATGGTACATTATATAATTAAATATTGCCAACAGATAGCATAATTTATGTAAATTTATATATGGATGTTACTTCTAAATCAGAACCAATTTAAGACCCACGTCCTTTGAGAATAAATTTCAATTTTATGTTGTTCGGACTAAGTTTATCGGAATTATATAGGAGAGATATTTCAGTATATGAAAGGACTTAGACGCCTTTCTTTCATCAATGTCTTTAGCTTTGTGTCAAAAATGATCGCGAATAGTGGGAAAGTAGAGCAAAGTAGGAAGATAGTTGGGTTATTAATGAAATGTTCATTTTTTTTTTTTTTTGGAAAAAATATTGAACTTCTCATAAGTATAAGAATTATTACTTGTATTCAAAGCGTGGTACATGTTACATTATTACATTATTTTTTTCCGTGTAGCAATGCGCGTCTCTTTTCACACACTTGCCGTATTTACACATTGTAAAATCTGTAAATTCGTATACACATTATCGTTGGAAATAAAGAAAACACGCACATTTGTTTTTAAATTTCCTCGAATTAAGGTAGGACACGAATATAAGCAAAAATGTGATTTATAAAATTTCAGGGCTTGTACAAAAAATAGATAAGCACATTTACCATATTCTATTCACCGGCATTGCTTTGTTACATGACTTTAATACGGACAAGCAAAAAATTTAACAGTGGATTCATATCAGTGTTGAAGATGTAGTCCAAAAAAATATGTATTAAAAAGTTCGATTAGTTTAGAATGTTATTATATTCGTAGTGTTTAGGTTGATTCACTTTTCTGCTACCCTGAATGTCGAATTACAGACACTTCTGAACCTAAGGCTGGATATATCCCATTTGCAATTCCAATCTTCGGATCTTCGACGAATATTTCGATCTGTTGGAAACGGAATGACAAATTTTATATACACTTCATTTATTGTTTAGGGTATAAGAAAACAATAATAAAATCGAAGAATTTTAATTTTGTTTTTAATTTCTATA